ACGGTTGTTGTTTCGTAATAAACCGGCTATTATAAGGGGCGACACTAATAATATATTGTTAGCCCCTAAGATGCGGATATAGCGGAATTAGTAGATATCGGCTTAGTATACTTAACTTAGTGTAATAGGCCGTATAGAAGGCCTTACTTAATAATTGGTACGGTTGTTTCGATAGAATAGTACGTATAGGTCCCGTTCTTCGGGCGCAATATAGTTAAATCGATAGTTTTCGTAGCTATACCGCTAAAAGCTTGAAATAAGGACTATCTAGCTACTACCCTTAAAGGGTAGATCGAATACTGTATAAGAAGGGTTATGTTAGCAGGTAGATAGGGTAGTAGTAAATCAGTATAGTATTCGATAGAGATCTAAGAGGAGAGGGAGGAAGGTAGGCAAGTTAGCCTAACGCTAAGCGCTAAGCCCTACCTAAGGCATCGAGACCCTAGCTTCACTCGAGCCCGGTTACATACCAATCACGTGTAACCTCTTTGGTCCTAATATATATACTGCACTAAAAGACACCCCTCTTAGGCGAAGGAATGCCTAGTAAGAATATAGGCAGCTAGGAAGGTAAAGGAAGCTAGAATTAATACACTAAAAAGATATATAATAAGCTAGGGCAGCTAGGTATAGAAGCAACCTAGCTAAGTGCTATAAAAGAGGTCTAGATAAGATAATAGGTTCACATTTAGGGCCTTACTAGCATAAGAGAGTTACTAGCAACTAGGGAGACTAAGATACCTTAACATTATAGGAAAGGAAGTAGGGCAGACAAAGCTTAGTTAAATGTTAGTCTAAAGTAAGGGAAGACTAAAGGAAAACTTATAGGGAAATAATATAGATAAAACCTAATAAATATTGCAACATTACTAAACATTATATAGTACAATATTAATAAGAGCAAAGACAAGGTATAGAGGAGCTTCCTTTAAGCACTAAACCTAAAAGAACATTACATTATTGCAATCTAAGAGCCCTAGCTTAACCTATATACAAAGAGACTAGCAACAGTTAAAGACCTAAGATACTACCCAATTATCTACAACTAGGGAGCCCTAAGGATATATATCTACATTAGTAAGGAGATAGATACAGAAACCTAGCAGGCTATACTATAGGAGGATAGGGACCTAACATTAGTTTAAGTAGAGACATCCTAAGGTACACTCTAAGTCTACTATATATACAACCTACTACTAGACTTAAGAAGTAGTACCTAACTAAAAACCCTAGAAAGACTACCTAGAGTTATCTAGAGGAATACCTACTAAATCCTACTTAGGGATTTCAACCTCTACTACCCCCTCTAGGGCTTAGACTTTACCCTAGCTTACTACTTCCTAGTAGGAAGACTGATTGATATATTAGAGAGGGAAGGAATAGAAATTGTTACCCTAAAGGGACTAATTACTTAGGAGGCAAGAGGAAGCAGTAGTATACTAGACCTATACTTTATATTATATTAGATTAGGAACAGGATTATAAGATACAGGGTCAACTAGGAACTAGAAGAATTATTAGACTACTTCCCGGTACAGATTAAGCTGAATATCTAAGCTAATTAGGAAAGGGAACTAGAGGAGAAGCTCAACTAGAAAGGTGCCTAATAGGGCAGGATTAGGGAGGAACTAGAAAGGGACCTAAAACTAGAGGAACTCTTAATAAAGTACCTACTAAGGCTAGAGGATATTAATAAGGCAGTAGAAGAACTAATAGGAATCCTAAAACAGATAGCTAGAAAGCATACCCTAGTAAAGAAACATTTACTATACTAGCAACTATACTAGACTAATAAGTATATAAGGAAGGTTAAAGTAGCAAGGAAGGCTAGGAGGCAGTAGATATAAACCTATACCTAGGAAGCATAGGACAACTATAACAAAGCCTACTAAGAAAAGAAGATCTAGATTAAGAAAGACAAGATATAAGAATAGAGATCTATAATAGGAATAATTATAAAGAAACTAGAGGAGATATAGAGGATAGCTAAATAGGTAAGGAGACCTAAATAGGACAAGGACATACTACTACAATTCCCGGATATTATAGACTAACAAGGACAAATATAGACTATAATAGAAGGGAAAGTAAGAGCCCTAGGCTAACACTTCTTCTATAGAAAAGTACAAGCAGACCTATTAGATATAAAGGAGAAAGAATAAGAGACTCTACTACTAGGTATACTAAGAGATACCTAGGTCAAACCCGAAACTATTAAAAGGATCCTAAAGAAAATTCTAGGCAATAAGGCACTAGGAGAAGACAAGATCTATAACAAACTTCTAAAAGCATATAGGAAGGGGCTAGCCCTAGCACTAGCTAATATCTTTTTATAAAGCCTAGTACTAGGACACTACCTAAGACTATTTAGGAAGTCCCTAATAGTAGTGCTAAGGAAGCCCTAGAAGGAAGACTATATATAGCTTAAGGCCTATAGACTAATAGCCCTACTTAATATAATAGGTAAGGTACTAGAAAAAATTGTCGCTAAAAGGCTAACAACCTTTACCGAGGAAAGGAACATCCTTCCTAAAGGCTAGATAGGAGGAAGAAAGAAGAGGTTAATACTAATAGCTATAGAACTAATTACAAAATAGATCAAGTATATCTAGCACTATAGTTAAAACTAGGTAGCAATCCTCCTCTCCCTTAATATCTTAGGAGCCTTTAATAATGTCTCCTATAAAAGGCTCCTATATATACTTAAACAGAAAGCTATACTAAACTAGATAGTCTAATTTATCTAGTCCTTCTTATAGGAAAGATCAATATAGCTTATTCTAGGCAAATTCAAATTAGACCTAATACTAACTAAAAAGGGAATCCCCTAAGGATTAATACTCTCCCTAATCCTCTTCCTTATCTTTATAGTAGACCTACTCCTACTCCTAGAATTAAAAAATATATCAGTATTAGGGTTTATAGATAACATAAACATCCTAGCCTAGTCTAAGACAATAGAAACCAACTATAAGATCCTAGAAGAGAAGCACTAGGAATATAAAAAATAGGTAAGGAGATATAGAGCAAAATTCGCCTTAGAAAAGTACTAGCTTATCTACTTTAGCAAGGCTAAATCAACCTATAATATAAAGCAATCAATTACTATCTAAGGCTTTAAAACCTAACTATTAGCAGAGCTTAGGGTACTAGGGATCTAGCTAGATCTAAAACTGAATTAGGGACTATAAGTAAAGAAGGCAAAGTAGAGGGCAGATGCTAATATGCAATCTATTAATAGGCTTATAGCCTCTATATAGGGGGCTACATTAGAGAAAGCTAAAGTTATATATAAAGTAATTGTTAAGCTAGCAATACTATATAGAGCATAGATATAGACAGCCTAGGAGAAAACACTAAAGAGGATTAAGCAACTAGTTAGCAGGTCCTAAACCTAAAGCCTAAAGAAAATCCTAGGAGTATATAAAACTATACTAATAAGGGTAGTAGAAATAGAATTAGGGATCCTACTAGTTAAACAATACTTTAAGGGACTAAGACACTAATATACAGCAAAGACAATAGAATACCTAGCCTAACAGACTATCTAAAAGGCACTAGATAAGATAAAAGCCTAGTATATTAGGACTAGGAGGCGAGATAGACTATAAATAACTCTCTAGAAAGTTAAAGACCTAGAGCAATATAGAGTCTTAATAAGAGAAATGCTAGAGAAAGAGCTTTAGGGACTAAATATAAGGCTAAAGGAAGATAAGCTAAAGGGAGAGAAACAAAGCCTAGCAGAATTAATTGCTAGATACCTATAGGAGTAGGAATAGAACAAAACACAAGTTAGACTAGGAACCCTAAAGGCACTAATCAAATTTAGTTAATACAACTACTAGCTCTATAAGGACCTAAACAGGGCCGAGGCAAGCCTAGCTATCTAAATTAGATCTAAATATATTAGACTTAGATCTTACCTATTTAGAAGAAACGTCCTAGGAATTGAAAGTAGGGCTTATTAATATAGCTACTAATCTTAGAACCCTAAGTATATATTGCTAGTCTGCCCCTAATAGTTAGAAGGTAGAAGTAATTAGAGACTAAAAGCAATAGAAAGGGAATACGATAAGCTAATCTAGAGCAAAGAAGACCTAAAGAGGATAGTAAAGTAGATTATTAAATAGGGATTTATACAACAATTCGCACTAGTAAAGGAAACTAAGGAGTAGATAAGAAGGAGGGAAGAAAAGGGGGAAAGAAGAGTAGGGTAGTAGGTAAGGTAGTTAGAGGGTAACAACTATAATACTAGTATACCCTAGAGGAAGGAAAATAAGGAAACGAGGAAGATCAATACTTATAAATAGGATAGGAGGGAGGTTTTTACTAACTAAGTTGGTTTCCTACCTAAAACAATATATAGAAACAGACCTATATAGGCCGAAAGGCACTACAACAGGCAAATGAAATATCTATCTATCTATATAACTTGGTTAATAGTATAGTTAATAGATAATCTTCGACGTTTAGTAAAATAACCGTTAAGGCTTGGCTGAGTTTGTGCAAGCTTCGAGACCAGTTTGGAGGAAAGTTAACGTCCACTGACAGAAACGACCGCTTTCCACGTGCATGAGAACTACCAACACAACGAAACGGTCAGACTCGGTGGACCGTGCACAAATTGTGCGTAGGTTCGCTGAGACGTCCGCGACTCGGTGCGACAGAGAGGCTTCAGCTTCCCCATTCCGAGCCATTCAATGTTCGATACGACTAAGCAAGGGACAATATATCGAACAACAAGCCATGTATCAGCACGAAACATTGCTCGAACGATGTACAAGTTTTCTTTCTTTCCATCATCCCTTACATCAGCCTCGATGGCTCGACGACCATGCTAGTACGTCTAATTTACATTGATCTTCCACTCTCGAAAGAAGTGGTGGTGGCATCGCTTTCTACATGTATCAAATCACCATTTCCACCAACGCCCATCGCTATGCCGCCGAAATATCGCAGGAGTACACTGCAGAGCACCATGTCTTTTGCCTTCCTCTGGATCAATGGAAGAAGTACCTCGACTCTCTCAGTCTCGTCACATCAAAGTCTCCCTTAGCAGGAACCTCAGGCATGGTCAATGGAAGCCACACATACAGTTTGCGCTGAGCACGTTTCGGAGTTTTGGCCTTTTTCGTGTCACCCGTCGTCTGCACCGTGGTATCCGACTCTTCATCATTCTCCCCTGATACTGCATCGGCAGTGGCATCAAGGTCCTGATCTGCAGCGTCGTCAAGTACTGCGGCATCCAACTCTACCGAAGCCTCAACCTCAAGGGGGTTGACAGGCATCTCCCCCAGCTTTTGCCCGGCGAGCTCGGTCGCGGCCGCGAAAGCGGTCGTGTCAGATTCTGCGAGCACAATGCTGCCAGGTGTAATCATTGCTTGGCCTTTGGCGTTCTCGGCAGGATCTTCGCTGTTGAGAAGGCGCATTCGTTCTGCTTCGAGGCCTAGTTCGCTCGGCATCGTTTCGTCCTTGCGCTCTTTGGCTTCTGCCTTGAGTTCGAGCCGTCGAGCAGTGATGCGTTGTCCGACCGGACTGTCTGCAAGTACTGAGGCCATGTACATACAGCCTTTGTATCTGGTTTCGAATTCTTCACGGAGGCGGGCAATGATGTCCTCTTCGTGCATGGCGATGAAAGCATCGCGGAGGACTTCACTCAGTCGGTTGACGTCGCAGGCGTGGGTCCAGAACGAGTCGTGAATACTTGCGAATGTCATATTTTCCTGATCGCATGCGAGTGCACTCAGTAGCATGTGAGTGGCATCCAGGGAATGAATGAAGTTGGGCGGAAAAGCTTGGAGTTGCTTTCGTCGACTGACAGGGTCCCAGACTTGTGGATCTTGCAAAGCAATCGCCTGCATGCTCGTGAGCACGATCTTGGACTTCGCTGATCGGTACGGCTGGACCACTGGGAGGCGCAGCGGGGTGGTCCAGACGACGGTGGATTTGAACAGAGGCTTGGACAGCGCGTGTTCGTCCTTACGTCTCTCCGACCTCTTCTGCTTGGGCGATGCGACCATGGGTGTCTTGACTGCGTCGGCGGGAACAACGCCTTCTGCGCTTTCCTCTGTCTTGTCAGCGTTCTTCGCTGCCTTCTTTCCAGTCTTCTTTGCAGTCTTCAACTTCTTTGCGCGAGCTATCCTCTTTGTTTGCCCCTTCAATTCCTCTACTTGCTCGGCTGTAAGGCATGTTGATATTCGGTCCGCACACTGTCCCAGCCAATTTTGGATAGCTTGCGCTCCAGCAAACATCTCTCCCAGCGACTTGAAGATCTTCAGCGCGACGTAATGCGACATGTTCCCAAGGTTGACCGTGTCGTATTCCGTAACCTCAGGGAAGAGGACTTCCAGCTGTTTGCGAACCTGAGCTCGTGCGCCGAAGAAGGTGACTCCGTACACATTAGTCATGACGGGTTGCTTGACGCACTTTCTCGTGATGCGACCTTGCAATTTCTGCGCAATGGGATTGCCTTCCTTTACATCTTTTTCCACCTCTGCTTTTACGGCTTCAGCGACTGCTGTGTAGACATCAGCCGGTCGGTCGCTAGGCTCAAGGTTCACTTGCGCAGCTCCCGCTTTGTCGCCACCAAGTGCGGCGTAATGCTGCAGTCCGTTACAAGTCCCGTCCTGCTGGACCGGGAGGTGGGAGACGAACTTGGTCGGATCGGGGGAATCCAAGGCGGCGGTGAGTTCGAAGCAAGCAGCCAGAGTCTGCCATGCATCTTCTGCCTGCAACCACCACCTGCGTCCTCCTAGTGGATCACGTACGGAATCGTAGATGTCGTCAAGATGCCCCATAGTGAACTCTACCCGCTCCTCCAGACTGGCCTTGTCGTGGCCGGCTACGGTCGCCATGTGGATCTTCAGCCAGCGGAGACCATTCTCGCCGAGCTCTTTGCCATCCGCGAACACCAAAAGTCCGCGCACATTATCAGCGCCCATGTGGTTGAGATATGGGGGAATGGGGTATGCTCGGCCTCGAAAATCCATGTTGTGCGGGAAGTAGAGAGTCTCGTTGAGCAGCGTGCGCGCGATTTCGAGCTGGAAGTTTTGGAAACATCGTTTCGAATGGTACCCGCCCTTCTTGTTGTCCAGTGCCCTGATCTCAGCCAGCCATTTTCTCCGCTCCAGTGGATCAGCCGATGAATCTGGCTCAGGAGGCATTTTCATTTCGGGGTTGAGAGGTGCAAAGTTCGCAATGGCCTCTCCAGAATTCCATGCCTCAAGCTGAACTTTGAAAACTTCTTGATGTACTTTCCATGGTACCTTGCCCAACGCCGTGAGGCCTTTGTAGAGTGTATCCAGATCATTATTCTGGTCAGCTGCCATGAAGTACTCTTTCGAGGACTTGTCGCCCTGCTGAAGGCGAAGGACGGGATTCGAGTAATGTAGGTAGCCGCCGTCACTCCAGCCTGTCCATGGTTTCGGCTCCACGACCATTGGCATACGCTTCGCGATTAGACTTCCAACGGGCTCGCTTTGCAACTTGTCAAGTAAGGCTGGGTTCGGGCTTATAATGCCGGTCTTCTTGCCCTTCTCGTATTTGAGGCGATGCAGGAAGGCAGGCTGCATCTGAGTGATCATCTCTTTCGTCCTCGGGTGCTGTCTCGTGACCGGAAGGTGTGCACACTCTAAGACTTTGGACACAAGCATCGCTCCCAGCTTAGCATGTACGACCAGCGGCCACTCTACCTCTGCTAACATGGCTTGGCTGGCCTTTTTGGCTTTTGTCTTGGGCGACGTATTCGCTTTATCGATTCCCTTCTTCAAAGCTGAAACTGCTTGCCGCCTGATGTGGGACGTCGTGTTTGTCTTGCGGTTCTGAGGAGCCGACGCTTTCTGTCTCGCCACACTCGCAAGACACTCGGCCTCGATGGATTTGGACAGCGTGACTGTCAAGCTGTTTAGTTTGGCCTCCGAAGCGTATACTCCTGTGCTTCGATCCTTGCCGTTGGCCATACGAGTCATGATGAAAAGAATGGTGTTTGCAGCGACTTTCTTGATGGGCAACATCTCCAGGTATGGACCGTACACATTGCGATCGTCGATCTTGCGCATATCGGTCATGGTCTTCTTCGCTTCCTGAAGCTCAAATTCCAGGGCGGGAAGCAGTTTTCGGTACCACTGCCACATCAAAGCTGCCATGGGCCTGCTCTGCATGGAAGTGTGAATGC